CCTCCTCCTCCTCCTCCTCCTCCTCCTCCTCCTCCTCCTCCTCCTCCCTCAAAAAACAGTCCAGTTGATATAGATATATATATATATATTCGTAGATTTTCATGGATACAGGTATGTAGGTCTAGGTGTGTTCGGGTCTTTCCCCGTGTAAAATTAAGAGTATCTTGGCGACGTTTCGGCGAGGTCCCACTTGCCATCCTCAGGCTGGTGCTTTTGGCTTTGTGCTGAAACATCGCCAAGATATTCGTAATCTTACATGGGAAAAGACCCGAACACACCTAGACCTACATACCTGTACCCGTGAAAATCTACAAAAACATTATATATAGTTACGCTAGTGATTTGGGTTGAAGCTGCTCGGCCATTATGTATGTTAACTTTTGTAATGTTTTAAATTGTTTTAATTTTGAGTCCACCCAGAGTTAGTTATTAAGATTATCCATATAATACCTATCTGGAAGCAGAAGTCCACAGATCTTAAAAGCTGCCGAGGTCATACACACGCCTGATTTAAAGGGGAGTTGTTCAGCGCTTGCTGGGGTTGTCTGACGGGATATTTGTGTGTATTTCAGGAACAAGCAGCAAGCAAGAAAATGGGAAAGTGTTCAGCATCACCAGCACGGTGCGTTTCCGAGTGGATCGCAAGGACCACAGCAGCATCGTGACCTGCGAAGCCATCCACCCGGCACTGCGCGGCCAGCGGAAGCAGACGCAGTATGTGCTAGATGTACAGTGTAAGTGACTGCTGGAGCTCCCTAGGGAGGGAGGGGGGGTGGGAGAGGTATGTTGTAAGCCAGGCTCAGGTTAGCAAGATCGAGAAATGGAGCCATGTTGCATTTTGCATCCTGGTTGCCCCCACTCCCCACCCCCACCCCCTCGGTCTTGTTTGAATGAAGGAGGCAATCATTATGAACCCTCTGTGGCTTCATGTTCAGAGGAAAAAAACTAAGCAAGGACCAGGCCTAACAGACAGGCCTGGATACCCAAAAGTCAGGGGTTTTAAACGGGACGTATATTCCACTAAGATTTCATTCCAGCCACTACTTTACTTCAGCCCACTAACTAATTGGTACAGGATCCAGGAAGATGATCCCTAAGGAAAAACACTTTTAATAGAGTCACCTGTTTACCTTGGGTTAGATTTGGCACAATTCCAGGTTCCTGCACCACTTCATCCTGCAAGTCTTTCCTACGCATTGTTTCTCCCTCCCCTCAAACATCGATATTAATTCTTGGCTTATTATTTTAAAATATTTTATTTAGCTGTTCCGCTTTGTTATGCTTGAAAAACAGCTCCTACTACCTTATGCCCTCATTTTGATTTTTTTTTTTTTTTATTCTGCTTTTCTGCCTACTAGCAGCTTTCCAAGGTTGTTGACAATAAATAACGTGTAGGTTGTTTTTTTTTTTTTTTTAAAGGCATTGATGATGGATGCCGTTTCTGAGGGGATAGTGATGTAAAACGTTCACACTTCTGGCTGTAGAAATTACAAATCCAGCATGTAAAGAAAGAAGGAAAGATATAGATTAGATAGATAGATAGATAGATAGATAGATAGATAGATAGATAGATAGATAGATAGATAGATATAGAATAGAATAGAATAGAATAGAATAGAATAGAATAGAATAGAATACAATACAATACAATAGAATTCAATACAATACAATACAATAGAACAGAAGAGTTGGAAGGGACCTTGGAGGTCTTCCAGTCCAGCCCCCTGCCTAGGCAGGAAACCCTACACCACTTCAGACAAATGGTTATCCAACATCTTTTAAAAAACTCCCAGTGTTGGAGCAGTCACAACTTCTGGAGGCAAGCAGTTCCACTGATTAATTGTTCTGACTGTCAGGAAATTTTCTCCTTAGTTCCGAGTTGCTCCTCTCCTTGATGAGTTTCCACCCATTGCTTCTTGTCCTCCTGCCTTCAGGTGCTTTGGAGAATAGCTCGACTGCAGCATTTTCAGCTGGAGAGCAAACAGCAAGAGCAGCTCTCCTAGATCAGATTAAAAACTCATCTAGTCCAATATCCTGTTTTCCCATCGATCAAGCCAGATGCCACTGAGAAGCCCAAAGCAGCATTTGAACAAGTACACTCTACCGTAGTCTGATTAGCACAGTAGTTAAGCGTAGGCTGGGTGGTGTGACATGAAGTAGACAGATAGCTGGCTTGAAAATCTTAGGTCAAAGAGCATGGAGAAGGTTCTTCATCAGAGGGGAGCGAAGATGCCCCTCGGTTCAGCCCCGGCTCTCCAGCATTTTAATGACGTTTGATGTGGGAGCAGAGAGAATGCTGATCGCTTCTGGATGACCCTTGGCTGGGCAGGTTAGCTAATATTCTAAGGAGATGGAAATAAAATTCAAAACAATCTTGATCAGCTGGGAAAGCAGGCAGGAAGCGGGGCTGGGATGCGGCCGGTATAACAACCGGTTCGGTAATCGCGGGTGAATAGCAATGCAAAAATCCTTACCTGCTAATGTTACTTTGGGAGAGTAACACAGCTGAGGAGCAGCAATCTGCTCTTCCACGCTGATCAGCTGGGATGATAAAGGCCAGTACAGTACAGCACAGGGGCAGGCGGGCGAACCCACGTGATCGTCGGAGCAAACTGGTTCGCTCCCAGCTGATCTTCGGAGCTAAGGGTTCGCGCAAACCGGTCTGAACTGGCAGAATCCCATCCCTGGCAGAAAGTAACTGCGAGGCCAGACACTTTGTCAAATGCAAAGTTGATATTTTAGGAGACGGATCAATTGCACCACTTCAGAACGGGGAATTTCTGGCTTGGCTGTGCATTTTTTTTGCGGAGAAGAACTTAAGGGCTAGTGTAGTAGAGACAGACATCTGAGACAGTCCTGTGATATGAGTCAAAAAAAGGAGGGGGGGGGAAGGCAACCTGGAACTAGTTCAGACAAGTGTGAGGAGACGGTCAGAGGAGTGGAAACTAAACCTTGTGAAGAGAGATTAAAAGGAACAAGGATAGCAACTCATCAGAAATCTGAAAGGCTGTCACGCGGAGACAAATGCCAAGATTCCTTCCCGAGATCAGAAGGAAATTAGGAGCACCTTTTCTGACTCCCACACTGGATTCAAAGGCTCACAAAAGTTGCAGCTCCCTCAAGCTTCTGCCTTTGATTCAAATCGGTATGTCGGAATAAGGGCGACCGGGCTGTGATATTTTTTTTTGCTTCCCTGAGTTCCCTCCGACAATGGCTACAAAGAGACTCCTTCAGTGAGCTGTCAGAAACATTTTGAGCCAATCTGAGCATTTCTGATGGAAGCCAACTTCTGTCTTTAATTTGAAAAGCCACTGAGGGGAACGCAGCTAATCCTGCAATGGACTCAAAAAGAGGATTTATGACCCGAATCCGAAGTGCCAACCCAATTGCCTCCCATCCACGCAATCCTATTACCTCAGGTGCTCAACAACATGGCTGCATTTATGGCCGTTTGTAGCATTCCCATAGTCACATGACGATAATAGTTTATGCCCCAAACCGGCACTTACAATAGATTCGCTTAATGACCAAGGCATTTGGTCAGTGACCGACGTATTCACTTTCTACCACCACGTTAGCTTAACAAGCACCACAAAGGTTGTAAAATCGAGTTAGTGATGTGACCGATCCCTTTTATCACTCTTACGACTTATAACCATGATGGGCATGTTCCATTAAGGTCGTAACTCGAAGGTTACCTGCAAATAATTCAGATCAGGCTGACCGCATTCCTACATCTGTAGGAACAATTGCTCCTATACATTGCATCCTGAAGCGTTTTGTGCATTTTTAAGCCAAGAAAAGACAGGAATCTTCAAGATCTTTGAGAATCAGGTTGCCAGCAAATTTTGTACTGCATGCAAATTATTATTAGAGTATTATTATTATTTCTGTTATTTTTTTCTTCTCTTTTTCTAGATTCACCCACAGCCAGAATTCATCCCCCTCAGGGAGTCATGAGGGAAGGAGACACCTTAATTCTGACTTGCGCTGTAAATGGCAACCCGCTGTAAGTCCTTCTTCTGGGTGGAAAAAAGAAAATTTTGGACTTATTTTGGTGGCAGCAGGAAAGAATCTTGTGCAAAAAAACAGGCTTTGGGAAAAGGTAGTAACCGTGGTAGCGGTTACTCTGATTTTTACTGACATTTATTTAAAAACCCAAATCTGGTGCTGAGAAAAGTGAAATTGGCGGCCCCTAACAAATGAGAGCTGTCAAATAAGATATTAGAATATTTTGGGCTTCATCAACCAAGGGTATTGATTATTAGACGAAATCTGCCTCTGTCTGCATTTTAACTAAAACAATATATCAAAAATCCAACTTTTCACAAAAGACCGAAGAAGAAGAAGAAGAAGAAGAAGAAGAAGAAGAAGAAGAAGAAGAAGAAGAAGAAGAAGAAGAAGAAGA